ACGCCTTGTCTCTTCACTGAAAGGAAGATGTGCCTGACTGACTCCCTGTCATTTCAAGGGTACAAGTTTTAATCCCCATGTGGATCAGTCCAGCCTCCATCTTTCAAGACAGAAGATCTGCCACCTTGCAAAGGGTTGTATATTCCCCTTTGCTATGCATCCAAATCACCTGAAAAAAAATTATAGTGCAAGTAAGAGAAAACGCTTATTTGTAGAGCCTTTTCTTAGATTAGGCAGATCAGCAACGAAAGACCAGCTCAAACACTGGCTACAAACTTAGCTGATCAGGTACTGCAAGCAGAACCTGGCTGAAGTAAATGCACTTCAACTACAAATTTGTATTGGATGCTGCTCTCCAGAAAAAAGCAATACAAGAGAACAACTGAGAGTGAGCAGGGTTACAACTTTCCAAAATTAGCCTGACATGATCTAATTCAGCAACGTGAGTCCAACTGCTGCCTCTCAAAGCAATAGTTAAATGAAAACTGTCTGTTACTACTTAATTAATATGACCCAGCCACACACATTAATAACTACTTTTTTTTTTTTAATGGTAGCTTGCCTCAAAGTTTCCACAGAATTCTCTTAAGCACCTAAAGAGAGACTTTTATACACATATTTTATATATGTAGCAAGAAGGCTGGCAAAGAAAGGCCAGGATGATACCCTGGAAAGATAAACGCATCTATCAGTGTTTTAGAATAAAGAAATACCAACTCCCTTTGCTGTGTGAGGCAGTTTCTTTATATCCAAATCTGTGCTCTTATTTAACATAAGTTTCTAAATCCTCTAAAAATTGCAGCCACCATTTGTTGCTATGAGGAGAAAACCCTACATCATTTTAACAATTGTATGTACTAGTAATGTTCAACTGTTGCTGCCAGCGATTTTTTCCATGTATCATGCAAATACATCACCTGTCATACAAATGTATATTCTTAACACTCTGTTGCTGTAAGATTAATTTATCTACAGTGCCAGGAATGCAGCCTTGAGGAAAAAAAATATTAAAAATGGCTTTGTTGCTTTCATCTTGATGTTATTTTAATGTGAATGTTTCATTACAGCAATATATCTATGATCAATGAGGGAGAACATTTACCTCTTTAGCTACTTAAAATCTATTTAAATGGCCATTATGAATGATTGTAGAACTAATTAATTTGTCTTCAAAACAGTCTCAGAATTTAGGAAGCATTTTGTAGACATAAGCAGATCTTTAACAAATCTCAAAATAAATATTTGACCAAGCCAATAGAGTAAATACACATCTCAAAACATTTACCCAGGAAGCCATAGCCGGCTCTTTTTAGGTCAGGTTAAGGGGTATATACATATATTGGCTGAAGTTAAGATGGATTTCGGGAGGGTGGGGGGTGGTGGTGTCAATTTTTTGTGAAAATAGAAGATGGAAGAATAATCAATCTATCCATGCGTGATTTAGCAAAGCATAAGAAAGTATATTTTTCCCAAAAAACGCAATCTTAGGTTGAGGATGAGAGGTTGTTTCTGAACCTCTGTATTTCAGTAGCGCCAAACTCTGTAGGCAAATCTTCAGATCTGAAATCAACATCATTCTTCAACCTCTACTTCTCCCGGCTTCAGGAAACAGCTATCTGAATATTTGCATTTTTAATACCTCCAGACTGTGGGCTCTAGACTACACCCCATCCTACAGTATTTGCATCATTCTAGCTGGAGGGACTAGTAACCAACAACTACTTAAATCTGCCTGGATTGTTGTTAAGATATAAGAGAAGCATATTATGACTACTCAGATGTATGATTGTTTTAAATTACCACCTGCACATTAAGAAGTAGTAAGGATTAAATTTAAGGCTTCAAGAACCTGTTTGTCCTTAATCTTATTATTTTTTGTTTTTATAAAATTTTTGTTACAAGATCGGATGGATTTCTTGTACTTATGCCCTGACCGAATATGAACTTAAAAAAAAAAAAAAGGTATTCCATTCTACATAGATATGGTTGCGAGATGTAAACATGTTACGACATTCTAAAAGATAACAATGATATAAAAATTAAGTGTAACATTTAAGAGAAGAATTGCTATATTTTATGACAACCATGATTTTCTATATCTAATATGAAATCAGATCTTAATTAACTTACTTTTAGTCTTCTTGAATCATTTATAGTCTAGCTACATCTTTCAATACACCACTGTTAATTGTCATACAAAAAATTGCAACCAAAAGATCGTATAAATTGATTTTTTTATTCCTCTATTATTTTTCTGGATGGATTTAGCTCAAGAGCATGACAGTATTCTGCTGTTTCCACAGATCCCTCATATAGCTGCAAGGAAACATTTTAAAAGAATGCCTACAATTTTCCCTAATAATGAAGTTTTAAATTCACTAGATTCATCAGTAGCGTTTTCAGGTTCTGCTAGTTTTTAAACCATAGCGGAATTTCCACTTGTTATTCCAGGAACTTTTTATTCTGGGTGATTTTACCGGAAATCAGCAGAAACACATTTACAAATACTTAGATGTTGGCCAAATTCATCAGGCTTCACATAATTAACCACACACTAGTCACACCTGCTTTGAAATTTACAGGATCATAAATACACTTGCAGGAGGCAACATACCTTACTTTCTGTCATTCAAGACCTATTCCATGTACAAGATTTTTAATGCCTTATCAATAATACAGATGAAATAGTGCTCTTACAGTTCATGGGCTATACTGAAATAAACTTCTGCAGAAGATTTCCCATATGACTGTGGCCTGTTCAATTTAATAATCTAAAAGGAATGGTAATACAGATTGCCACAGCCTGTGCAGCCAAGCTTGCTAATGTCCTTAAAGAATTCTGTGGAAAGACTGGAAGAGTGCCCAAGGTATTCCGTAGGTAATTCAAAGCTTCCCAACAATTCCATAAAAACTGAACTTTGTCAAAGCAAGAAACCTGTCCTCAATGCTGAGGCGGCAAAACTAAATCTCACAGCATCAAAATGGGTTGTGGAAGCAGTCGAGAGGGCTGGAAAAAGGGGCTGTGGAGACTCCAGCGCCTGGAACTGGGGTCAGTAATGTTGCAGGGGTCTTTGTGCCACAGACTCCCTCTTTTTTCACCCTTCCAGCTTCCTAGAACAGCCTCTACCTCCACAGTGCTGCGGGTGTACGCAGGTTTACACTGCCAGGAGCAGCCCCATCTCTGTCGGATGCAGCAGTAGGAGAGCTTTACAAACAGAACACCAGAGTGGCAAATGAGGCCATGCTTGCTGCTGGAGCGGCCAATCTCCATCTCTTAACGTAGTCAAAGCAGACAGACAACTGTGCTAGGTGGCAACCTACTTTGCTTATGCTTATGCCTAAAGCCAAATTTGTGTATTACCAAAATGGAAGGTGACAGAATAACACAAAACAGTTTGAGTCAGTAGAAATGTACGCTGCAGCACTCAATTACAGCTGGGTGAATTAAGGACTGTGTTACAAATTTAATTCTCCCGCACGCACACTTTGCAAGTCAAGCTATTTCTTTCAGTACTAAAAATTCCACTGAAAAATTATCTGAAGATCTTACCACCCAATAAATGAATTAATTCAGCTCGTAATTTCTACCCTTGGAGAAGCACGAACACAAGTCATTTTGTAGGAAACTTGTTTTCCTATTTTAAGGGGACAGAAAGGGAGAAGGAATTATCTTTACACCTTTTTTCTGTCCTGTCTAAATCCCCTGCACAGCACTAACTTCAGTTACATTTGGCGAGCCCAATCAGACGACCATTGCCAGAGTGACGTAGAGTCTGTTCTGCATCGCACAGTGCTGAGCTCAGACACTGATTCCAAATTGTGACTGTCTACTGGCTCTACAGATAGTATTATCAGCCAAAAGGCACCATGTTTTATCAAGTCTCTTTACCCATTCCTACTGTACAAACTTTCCCAGTGAAAAGGTAGCTTTTTTTTGCATGCCAAGCCCTCATTCTGACTGAAATTACTTACAAAGACTCCATCCTACAGCTACTTTTGAAAGCATTAGCATCTTCACTATCTTAGCATTTAAGTTAATTCAAACAATATAATTCCTAAACACAAACTTATTTTTGCGTCTATAGCTGTAAATACTATCCAATTCAAGACATCTTCATTTCAAAAACTGTTTCCATTGATAAAAGAACTCTCAACATACAGAAACAATTGTACCTTCATTTACATACCTGCCTCTATTCAATTTTTCTTCCACAATTCTTACTTAGAAAAAGCTATCCAAATGTTTAGATTAGGCCACTAACTCAGCTTCTTTACATGTTCTTAATTCATGGAACACAGCATAACACTGTGTCTGCTAATCATGATCCTAGCTCTGTAATGGGAAATTCAGGAGTCTGATCCCTTGATTTGGATCCATATGCTATGTTCATTTTACAATAAATTACTTCTCAGATAATCTAATCCAGAAGCAAACTACATTGCTCAAACTAGTACTCTTTGAACATTATGCCAAAATTAGTCTCTACCAGAGATATGCAAAAGAAAAATGTCAGATTTCAAAGCACTGTAAGACTGCTGGAGAGAATCTCAACAGCCTAAGACCAGTTCTACCACTCAAAGCTATCTGTGAACCATGACTGAATAGACAGGCCAAACTTTTCAAAGGTACCATAATATTACTGAACTTACTGGCCTATTTTTAACCGAAGTCTGAATCCTTCTGAAGATCTCCACAGGCTTCTGAAGTTGGCCATCCAAATATCAAAGCACCCAAAATTAGAGATCATTTTGGAAAATGCCACCTGCATTCAGCAGTTGCCTATAGAAACAATTCTCTTGTAAGCATTTAACTCATGCTTTGCAGGGCACTGCGGAATACATAAATGTGATAAACTTCATACGGAAAACCTCTGTTTGCCATTTTTGTTGCATATAAATAGAAAGGTCACAGGTGTCGCATTTTACAGTACCAGGAAAGAAGGATCTTTCTCTAAATTATGTAAACCATGAAATGACAGAGATGGAAACGTCTGGCTTACTGTAAGGTGTTGTATCAGTAGGATCAGGAGGTGGAAAATTTTCTGTGAAGTTGACATTACACAAGTCTGTACTACAGCAGCAGAAGCGGTATGTTCCATTCTGAATCAAGGAGGGGGTGGTTGTAACTATACACTCCTCAAAGTGACACTCTTGTGGGTCTCCTATATGAGACCAGCAACCTGTAAAAAGAGGCAAATTAAAGAATTCTTTTTAAAGAAGGCATAAAATTAATTCTATCACATGGACAATTAAACACATCTATAGGAATCCATACATTATCTACTACAACGTAACACAATGGGGTGTAAAACAATTATTATAATTTCCTTGTCTGACTTCACTACCATCTTTTAAACCAAAAACTGAAGAATTTCTTTCAGAATTTACAACAGCCAAGGAGAAGAAATATGGGCAGCAATAAAGGCCAGCATCAAAGGTGTCCAGCTGTTAACCTCAATACGACAAAACCTGAATTCTTGAGCCTTCTAAGCAGAAGTATGTCATTCCTCACTTCTCTGATACCACAGACACTATTACCACCCTCTGGCCCACAGTCTATATGAAATCGTGACCTAGTCCCCTCCTTAGAGCTAGGCCACAAGACTGCATCTATAGTTCGGTGCTTCTTGTGTAATTTCTAAAAATTCTGTCTTTCCTCATTGTCAACATCACTGGACTCTTTCACAGGATCACCACTTATTTCTTGGTTAATGCCACGACCTTTCTCCCTGCAGCAAGTGTTCTTTCCCAAGTATGGTCAATAGCAGTTAAATGTCGTTTATGCACAAATGCCTGGAAAGGAAAGAGGCAGCGTGGGGGCAGAGGTGAGCAGACTGCTTCCTTCAGCAGATTACCGGATCAAACATGAAACAACAACACTGAGTACAACTGTACAGGATGTTTATAAATACCAGTTTTCATTCAGCCTTATAATACATTAACTTCTATCCAAGTAACCAACAGCAGCATCCCTGAGAATGGCAATTAGAACACAGCTCCAGCAACTGCAAGACCCTCTACCCCTGCCTACCACCATCACTCTCCCTGCAGAACACCAGCGAATTGACAGTTAGTGAAATGTGACAGTTTTGTGCTATATCTTCCATTTCCTTTGTAAACAAATATCCAATCAATGCAAATATATATTTTTACTTAATGAGACACTTGTTAAAAAATTTATCACTACATCAATACATATATTGAGCTATATTCAAGAAAGTCATCTTCCTCTGGACATCCTAAGTGACAAGCAATTCGAATGTTTTTTTCCTTCAACTGTGCATTGATCTCTTCGGTCTCTTTTAGAAGTCATTTATTTCAAACAAACGTCGTGGTCATATTTCAAATTGCTAAATGGGAAGTTTAAAATTATGCATTTGTACAATGCATAAACAAACTGTCTAGCTTTGCAGCTGTGCATCTTCGTGTCGGCTGGCTAGATGGCAAAAAGCGAAAAAAGTAGCAAAACTACTGCATTTACACTGAAATGTTGCATACCTTGTTTTACAAGATGTATGTCTCCTTCTCGTGTTTTTTCCCAAAGTCCATAGCAGGTACTACCTTTCACGCACAAAATTGTGCCATTCTCCTGCGAGATTCGGCTTTCACTGATCCCATGGTCCTGCTGATATGGATCCTTAAATGCACACAGCCGCTCCTCACTCTGCACAGCTTTTGACAAAGAAAGGAAAATGTTTTTTGTTAGTGATTTTATGCATAAAATATTAACTTTAACAAGGGCATGATTAAGGTCTTCTGGAAACCTATATTCAAATCATCCTGAATTATATATATCTGTTCTTTAAACTGTTCTCTAACAGGCAGAAATAAAAACGAGGTCTATCCTGAAGTTATGTTCATAAAGAGGACAAAAAAGACCCTCAGCAGATGTTTCAAAATAAATGTGCAAATGTCTGAGGTTCACAGGTGCAGAATAAAAATTTCATTGCATAGACTCCATCATCTGCATCATTTGTCCTTAAGCATAAGTTATGCAACTGTTAGCTGGTTTCTTCAGCAACCGCACATGTTGCTGTTGCAATGTGGTGTTGTTAATTGTTTTCAGATCCTAAACCAAGATGATCTTTTTCAGACTGCCATCCAACCCAGTGCCTACCTAACTCAGAGGGTTTTTTCCACTATCCTTCTATTGACCTATCTCTTTTTTCCACGTTATCCAGCTGCTGCACTGACATTTACTTCTTTTTGCTCTGCAATCTATCAGTTTGGGCTCTTTCACACAACTTCCTCAGTGGCCACCAATAGAAATAACTAATGGCTGAGTAAAACCCATACGATAAGACCCATAAGACTGCCTGTAAACAGGAGCAATGCTGTGTGTAGAGTGTCCCTCCCTGTGGTGTGTCCTGCAGGAACATTATAAATTATACAAAGACAGTGCAAAAATAAATAACCGTGATCACCTGAAAAATCTTTGGACTGTTTTATTAAAACAAACCCAAAACCACCCACAAAAAGCATACTGATTTTTACAAGAATATTTAATCAACAAACTTGAAAAATTTAGTATCTTAAGAACTCATATGCTTTACGTGTATGTATGATTACTGCTTTTTTGTTTAGATCACCTCAATGAAAGAAGTCAACCCTGCAGATATGCCTCTGTCATCTTTTCTTTAGAGAGAGTAAACACGTGCAAACAATAAACTCTTCAGAAAGGCATCAAGTCCAAGATAAATAAATCCTACATTCACAGTGAACATGATACTTAGAATATTTTCATTCTTCCCTTGAATGATTTTATAAAATGCACGGAAAGCTAGGCGTGTAAGTACAAGGCACTTAAGTATTATTCAGTAGTACAGCTCAGCAACCATCACAGTAAAAATTTGTATTACGTGTCTCAACAACCAGATTTCATCTAGTTCTTCAACTTACATGAAAGCACTGGTAAAGAACAGATGCAATATGGAGTAGATTGGTACTGTATATGTATAAAACATCTCCTCACTGAGGATTTACTTAATTGATCATTCTGCAGCACTGACCTCAAAGAAGCCATGTTTCAGCCAGGCAGACTTACTGCAAAAATGCTGTTTCATTGTGTCACTAGCACAGATGATTGGGTAGTAGAAAGGCAAACCAAGACTCAGATACCTGATTCACTTCTAAGGCCATTACTATTCACTAAGGAGTCAAAATTCAAAATTATTTTATGGTAAGACAACCATAAATAGCTGCACCATCCAGAAAAGCAGTCTGTCAGTGACTCCCAGTTTATTCTGTGGCAGCTGTAATTAAAGTAGTACAATGTAGCTTATTTTTTTAGCGGTCTGGTAGGGCATATACAATCAGTTGAGCTGCACGTCAGCTCAGTGGTGGTAAAACTCTCAGCTGAGGAGAGAGGAACTTCTCAAGTCACAGTAATTCAATCACTTGCAGCTCCACATACTCCAATAACCTGGCCAGCAGTCTGTGCCACTCACCCACCTCTCTGCACATTGGTCAGTGTACAATTTACACTTTAGATCTGGAACTAGAGTTCTGAAGTGATAAATACATTTATTATGAAGCAGTGGCCCTACATTCAGAAACTCAGCTGTCTCAATTTCATATCTAACTTTTTTCTTTCTAAATGAGTAGAGTTAGCCGAGTCACTGAGGACAAAAACGTCACACACTAACAGCTAGCATATGCTGCCTCAAGCAGTACTTGCCAGTCGCACGTAGTAGTTTTATTCTCAGGAACAGCTGAGTATGCCAGGCGTGAAGCATCTGTCCTGCATTCTCTGCTCCATGACATGGGACTGGCCAAGAAACAATGTATGAAAGGACAGTACTACACTGCCATGAGAGAACTGGAGCTGTCTAACTTTTTGAAAATCGAAAGGAGAAAAAATTATCACGGAAATACAATTTTCAAGAGAGAACAGGAGAGAATTATATGGCCTTGTGAAATACGATATATCTGCTCCTAGGGACACCATGAAGGTTTTAAAATCAGTTGCATGTGATAGTTTAGTGGGACTAAGGTCATCTGAGATGTTGGTTGTTTACAGAATGCTCAGACTGCCCCAGGATAAGCCCTTTCATAATTTGCCCCTATTGTGAAAAGTAAATTAAAAAGAACAGCATTTGTAAAGCAGCCACATGGATTTGGTTTCCTTATCAAAAACCTGTGGTTAAAAAAAAAAGTAATTCCAGGAAAGTCCACTTGCATAATAACGCAATAGTTTTTTTTAAAAAAAAAAAAAAAAAATCAAAATATTTTAACCTTTGTTCTAAAGGAAGAAAAAAACCAAGACCAAACACCCTTTGGTTTTGCTTTCTACTCAGAAACTAGTTACATGTATCACGTGAGTGCTCCACAGACACAGACAGCTTTAATTGCTTACTTGCTGGTCTCTTAATCTCCTAGGAACAAGGTTGAGAGGTAAGAACATGGAGAAGATACTTAAAAAGAAAAGTTGCTAACCGTCATGCCAGATGCTGTCCAACCACGTACTATAGAAAATAACAGTTGCTACCAAAGGCTTTTCTGATTTAAAAAAATGTATTGCCCCATAAGAATACCTGAGAGGGGAGGAAAGGGCAAGCATGAGAAAGTACAACATCCACAGCTAGCAATCTGAGTGCCTATCTTTATCAGTTTTCTAGAAAACTAATAAAAACGCAAGTTAACTTGCCACAATTTAACGTCAGATGATCTCAGTGGGAAACTCTGCCAACAAAAAATAAAGGTTACTCACCCAACAACTAGAGTTTTCATGCTGATCGCTGCACATTCCTGCCTCGATTATGACTTACGACTAGTACAATCCCTGTGGGAGCAGTGCCCACTGCAACACTCTGCTGACCCCTGACCCCTCCCTGATGGCATGGAACATCTGGTGAACAGGGGACTCATAACAAAAGCTACTTTATTTTTCTCTATGGCCTCTGTAGATTCATTGTTGAAGCTGTAATGCCGAAGAAAATTGGGTAGGGCATTCAGATGTCCAGAAACCTCTCGAAGAACAACAGAATAGATGAACCATTTCAATTTCTTTGCATGATTTCGACACATTCCTG